TATTTTGAGTAAAGTCTCAGTCAGCTTTGCAGATCTTAAGATGAAAATTTTGTCTATTCTTTGCTCTGACCTACAAATAATGATCAGGTCTAAACTTTGTGCAAATGCTTTATATGCTTTTGTTGATCTAAGCAACTACTCTGCAGCACTGCTTGTGTGTTTAGTTAGGTAAAAAATAATCAGGGTGAGGTGCATGTCACGGTTTTTAAGTCACGGTTTGGAATGTTTTTGGTACATTTCAAAAAAGAAAAATTAATAAAAATGTATAATTCTTGTTTTTACTTTGATCAGTAGTACACAAAGAATCAAATTTTTTTTCATTTCTGATATTAAATTGATTTTATTATGTTCTAAAAGTTAAAAAGAAAAAGTGGAAATCATAAAACTGGCTACATGGAGTTTTGTTTGGGCTTTTTTTCAGGAAGTAAAGTGATATAAGCAAACATATCGAAAGCCGGAATAGACAGAACAAACAACAAAACAGCCACTTAAAACTGGTCAGTGTTGATGTTGGTAAACTTTTGAATCAGACTGAACCCACATTTGAGAAGACAACATGCTTAAATCATTTTGGAGTTGTTTTGATATTTTAGAAATATCTATATTGTCCTAGCTGTACCTGAATGCAGCATGGTATCTGCTGGGGAAATCCCCTCAACTTGCATTTCTGTGATGCGCTGAGTTTGGGCTGATTGGATGCTACAGGCAGGCAGTCAATTGGATGTCAGCTGCTTTTCCTCCAGTATCAATAATGTTTAAATTCAGCCTGAAATTGTTTCAGGTGAGAAATTAAGTTCATTGCAGAACGAGCTACATTATTATTGTTGGGGGGAAAAAATGCTTTGGTTCAGCCCACCTTCTCAAAAATTCAAGGTTTTCATCCATAACCTGGTAGTTTTTTTTTTTTTTTCCCAAGCAGAACATTTTGCAAGATTTTTAACAATCATATACCATTTTCCTTTCCCCATCACATAAAATCCAAGTTAAATGCATTTGTGATTGCTATAATAAAAACAACAACCTTCCAGCTTCTCTGAGCAATGTCTTACCTTCTCCGTTAGGATGGCCAGAGTTCTCTCCAGAGCGTTGGATGAGCGTTCCTTGGCGGCTCTGGACAGACGTTCGGTGTAGTAACACACCTGCGTCTTCAGAGTGTTGATCTGAGCAATCAGCTCCTTCGCTTTAACGACATCCTGAGGCTGGTAGGTCATTCCTTTCGAGCCGAAGCCAGAAGAGCTTCAGGTGCGTGTCAGATTGGTCCACGTAACAGGAAAAAAGAGGACAGAGAGAGTAAGCGGAGGAAGCAGTGTGGCAAAATCGAGAAAACATTCAAAAACTCTTAGTAGATGGCTTCTTATAACCCTTTCCTCTAGCCCTTACCTCTCTTCCTCATAAGTGCTGATTGAATAAAGGACAGAAAATCACACAGAAAAACATTCATGAATGAGCGCAAAGAGCAGAGCTGCTGAGCGACTTTGTTTTGATTTCACTCACTGTTTCCTGGCTTCTTCAAGCTTGTGCAGCAGTTTTCTGAGGCCGCAGCCTTTGAAGCCCTGATGATGCGCCGCAGGAGCCCCTATGGTCACGACGTCATACGTCCAATCTGATGGGAAAGACGCAACAAACGCCGACAGTAAAGCGACCGCACTGAATCAAATATATTACCATTAGTCCTGTTTAGGAGAACGACGCACAGCGACTCACCGTAACCCGTCTCTCCCTGAACTCTCATCCGCTGGATGTGCAGGTTGGTGGGAATGAATTCCAACTTCCTCTCAGCTTTTAAGGTGCTGGGCTTAAACGAAGGTCCTGGGAGACAACAGGAGTAAAAGATGGACACGGATTATTCATATCTTCTTCACAAAGTTAAATACTTCAATATTTTACTCATTTCATAAAAGATCATATATAAAGTATATCAAACACTCTTAAAAAAAAACTATGTATTTTTTACATTTCTGTGTGGGTTCTTTGTCAAAGGGCTCGAGACAGAAATGATTTTCTACATCAGATTATTCTGGGAAAGCTTGTAATTGTTCAATATTCTGTACAAAATAACAGAATATGATTAGTCTAATAATCAGTCACTTTGATTTGCTGACCTCTGAACACTTGACCTCCACAGGTGCAGATAGTCGCAATATCCTGATTACTAAATAAAATTATAAGAAAAAACCCACCAGTGTTTGGAGACAGAGGATCTGAGATGTCAACCTGTTTATAAAACTTTCTAATTAGAATCATCTGACAGCAAACAAGTCGTAATAGAGGAGTGAGAGACCAGTGAGACCTTCAGGAGTTTTAGCTCTTAAAGAGATAGAAGTTTTGGGAGGTAAAATGCAGGATCTCACATTGAAAATCATCTGCGGTCTACAACCTAGCCCCAGTTTAATATTTCATCTCAGTGTGCAGTGCCTGTGATGCAGAAGTGAGCTTCTGTTTCTTACCTTTGTATTCATGCAGGTCACTTATGGTCTCCTGGTATGTGAGGATGATAGTCTGGTACTGAGTGATGATCTGCCTCCTGAGATTCTCCCGACACGGAGCGAGCTCGCCCAGCTCCTCCAGCTCACACACCCTGCGAATCGAACACACACGCAGTCACGGTCAAGACATTCGGCGAAGTCGAAGAATATTTAAAAAGCCGTGTTTGCCGCCACCGCCGCTGTGTCAGACACCAAACACACGGCGAGTGTATTCATTTGCAGTTGCAGCACAACAAAGGAACAAAAAGACAAATCCACAAATCCACAAAACAATAAAATCAAAGGTTTTAGGTTTCAACTATATACAATTTAACCACATGATGGCTGCAATGCAGTGACTGAGTTTCTCTTAAGTTCAGACTGTAGATCCTCAAAGCTACCTCACGGCGTCCTCCTCCAGGAGCAGTTTGACGAACTGTCGAGGAATATGCAAGGAAAGGACGCTTTCAGCCATCTGCTCCAGGACGCGCAGGTGGTTTCCATCCGTGGTTGGGAAACGATACGTCCGTGACATCACGCCTCCACAAACTCGAAACGCACAGGAGTAGATAGGAGAACTCATAAAGTTACCATAACATTTTGCATGGGCCCGTGAGCAGAGCGCATTTAAACGCACTCACCTGCCTTTAGCATCGGATCTTTACATAAAGACGAAGACTTGGATTTAATAGCCGTGGATCCGGTCAGGCTTTCGTCGACTGGGAGAACCATCTGAAACAGCAAAAGCAACGACACTTGAACTAAATCCTCTGACCTTTGTATGTTAACATACATATTCATTCCTTAATCGTGAAATCAAACACGGTGATCACGACTCCACAAAAATGGAAGTGAATCGGTGGTTTTCCCAGTAATTTTCCTGAAACCAGACATTTACACACGCTGAACAGAAAAGACGGAAAGGGTTTCTTTCTCATGGTCTGAAGGTAAATCAGACAAAGCTTTTCTTGTTTTGGCTTTGACCCAAGTCATACATTTTAAAAGATAATTATCCCTGATACTGACCAAATGTATTCAAACTTTGGAATTCAAAGAAAAAAAAAAAGAAAAAAAAAGAAAATCTTTTCTGGCATTTGACATATACAAATAACTTTGGTAATCCTAACGAAGCTAAGACAGGAAAAGTTTGGTCTGATTTAACTTCAGCAAGTGAGAAAAAAAAAATGTGTTTGTGTCTTTATTTGGCGTGTGTAAATATCTGCTTTCAGCTGTATTTTATACCTCAAAACAACAACACAAATAGCATTTTTCTCAAAGACAAGTTCTGCAACGTTGCTTGAAACAGAAAATTAGATTAACCGGCTTCACTTTCAATCGCTTAAATCAGAAACAGAGAAACTGTGGAGAGTTTGAGGAAAACGATGAGCTTATTTCACCCTTCCATTGACCGTATCCCCCCGCTGTAATCTTGCGACTGGTGCTCTCTGTTCATGCTTCTCCTCTATTTGCCAGGCGATGACTGTGATGTTGCCCACACGTTCATTCTCTGCTGACCTGACACACACACACACACCATGACATCACATCAGATCCAACCATAGCTTTGGCATTTTGCATCCACATTGTGATATTCATCTCTGTCACCTTAGAGTCAAATGCAGTCTGTGGTGTTTGTCCTGCAGCAGCTCCTTTACAGAAAACATGGACGACCCAAGCATGTACATCTGTTGTGGGAGAGCATAAAGTCAGAGGATTTAAAGGATTTAATGCAGATAAAAGTAGACCATGAAGGATTTACATTTCACTACATTTACCGTGCCCTGTGATCGGTCCTTCACATCATAGACGGAGAGTTTGACCTGCGTCTGCTGGGTGATGAGCGAGTCCTGAAAGAACGCTATGCTGCTCAGGTAGATGGGATTACTGGTGCCCTAAAGGGGAGACGGTGACGGCAAGAGAGAGATGAGGAGGTGGTAAAAGTCTCACAGAGCTCCCAGGAAGTCAGCGCAAACTGTTTCCTGTTACCTCTATGATTTCGGTTTGGGCATGCTTAGTCCAGAAGGCCTGCGGCGGTGTGGTGCAGCTGACGGCCACAAAGCTGGTCGGCTTGCGGTCCAGAGAGGGCGTGACCAGCTCACTGCAGGCTGCAGCAACATGGCAACGCAACAGATTACTAAAAGTGGGATTTAGATGGTTGGGTGGCAAATAATCCCTGCAACCAGGGAGTCACAGAACTTCAGAGTTGTTCGTGCTTTATGAACAGATGTTGTTTAATACTTTTTTACTCTGAGCAGTAACAAGACCGCTTCCTGCTGTTCTTCAAACCTGGCAGACGATCACAGCCATGATTCACTGAATTCATCTAGTTTAGAGAATAGATTCGTTTTAAAACTGTCCTGAGTTATTTTGTGCCTTTTGTGTGACTTTCTTACTTCTATATACTTTTTAAGAATATGTTTATGTTTTACATGCTGTAAGGTTTTTACACTATGACTTGGATCTGCATTTTACTTTTATTAGGCCCGAGCAGCTAAGCGCTGCGAAGGCCTATTGAAATTGTACTGTAAATTATTATTCTTCCGTAAAATAAATTGGCTTTTTGGAGGCTTTATCATATTCAAAAACTTACCAAACTTGGCGGGCGCATTGAGACTGTGAAAAATTTACGTATTTTAAGGTCAATGCAAAAATCGCATAGGAAACAGCTCAACGGCGCCACCTAGCAACTTTCAAAAGACCCTTTCCTATTACCTTACTTCATCGTAGAGACTTGAAATTCGGTACACTTGTAGAGCTCCCCAAGACACTCAGAATTTACAATTAATGTCATAGTGCAAGTATCACAGAATGTCGGCCATTTTGGATTGAAGTTCCAATTTTGACCCGATTTTGGCCGTTTACAGGGTTCGCATTTGATCGAACTTGTCCTAGGGATTTCGATCGATCGGCTTCAAACTCGGTCAGATCGTTCATATGGCATGGCTGATTAAAAGTTATCAAAGGTTTGCGTTTTCGTGCCTGATAAAGGGGGGTTTCCTGGGGTCAAAGTTAACCTATTCGCCATGAAACACGAAACTGTCATAACTCTTACACAAAAACTCTGAGAGGCACCAAACTTTCAGTGATTGATCATCGTCGGGTCCCCTACAATACCCAATGGTCAATTGATGACATCACTTAGGCCACACCCCCTGATAACAGGAAGTGTCATGTTTTACTCTGAACGGTCCCTTTCTGACCCCTTTGACCTAATCAACATGAAACTATGTCCACAGACAGAAAACATGTTGGTGTGTTGTGGATTCCAACCCCGTTTGTTTTTGATGGAGGAGGTGGGCGTGGCGGCGTGGCGAAGTGCTATGCAATTGCTATAGAGCCAATCGTATAGCAACGCATTTGCTATACGATTGGCTCTAGATCCCACAATTTTGAGTCCAGCTGCACCAAACTCACTAGGATGCATCCTTATCCATCCCCGAACAGGAATACATAACAGTCGTTGATGGGCGTGGCCTAATTTCTCTACAGCGCCCCCTAGAATTTTTTAAATGATCAGCCCCAAGCCATGTTTTAACCTTGAAATATGAAACTGGGTACACATGTGTATCTTGTCAGGATGTACAAAAAAGTCTCTTGGACCCATGGTGCAAACCCAACAGGAAGTCGGCCATTTTGGATAAAACCCGCCATTTCCTGTTTTTCATACACTTCGCATCTGATCGAACTCCTCCTAGAGCTTTTGAGATACAGACTTCAAACTAACTCAGCACACTGTTCAGACATTGTAGATGAAAAGTTATCAAAAGAATTCTCGTACATCAAAGCATGTGGGCGTGGCTACGTGTCAAACTTTGACTTTTCTCCATGAAACATGAATGTGCAATAACTTCCAAATGCCAGGTCAGAGCTACATCAGACTTTCCATGTCTCATTATAGACCACCCTTAACCCCCTTACAATGGTTAATTGTTGACATAACCAAAGCCCCCCTCCTTCCAACAGG